GTGGTATTAGGGATAGTTTGAGAGCAACAAGTAGTGACTATATGTGTTATATATGCTATATATGTTATATGGTTGCTCTTCAACTATATTGAGTGCTATGGATATAGTGATGTATTTGTGCGATGCAATGATCCTCTCAAGAGTATTACCTTCATTAATGGTAAACAGTGCTCTTTATCTCCCTTACCTCTGTCTCAATACAAACATATAGAGCTTAACATCAATTCTCAAACAAATTTTTTTTTCTATTCTCTCTATACATTAGAGTTGTCAAATACAGATAAAACGATTCTGGTCATTTTGTTATAAAATCAATAATTTATTATATAATTATTTTTTTATTTTATTAAATGAAATTTTATAAAAATTTTAGAGGCATAATATAGAAATGATATATTAATATCATATAATAAAATTATATATTAATTGTACTAATTGTAATTTAACTATGTTATAACATATAGTAGATTATATGATGTTTTGGTAACTATAGTTAGTATACAAGAGTTGATTTAGAGTAAAGCCTCACTTGAGTTGATCTGTTTTGCCATTCATTTACTATATATGCTGTCAATGGTTGAGCATTCAAGCGATAGTCATTGCAATATACAAGTCTATGTTAAACACTATCAAAACTAAGTAATAATTAGAGTTATAGCATAGCATCACACGAGAAATACTTACAATATTTTCACAACACTTTCCCGATATATATGTTATATTTGTGGTAAATATTGCAATGGATAGTAAACTGTTCACATGAATTGCTATTATTAACAAAATTAAATCATTTTTATGTTACTATTTAATACATAATATTGAGGTCTTTGATTTGTAAATATTGTCTACTAATATCTACAACTGATATAACAAGATATAGAAATTTATATTAATTATACTCAAATAGTTAAACTAATCACATTTATATACTGATATATATTGTAGTTTTTTCAAGTACTACTATAGACATCAATCAAATTAATAAAATGTTGTTACAATTTATTTAAATATATATTTTTATGTTTTAGTCACAATAATACGATACATTGAATTTATACACACATTTATCATTACAAACTACAGTATATTATTTACAGCTATATAATGATATGAATGAAAAATATGAGTAAAATTATGAATGAAAAAGTAAAGATAAACACAAATAATTAGTGGCATAATTTATTAATTTAAAAAAATGTTGAATCAATTTAAAGAATTTAATTATCTTTAATATTAGATACTGTATGGCAAAGCACAGGCAGTTTAGGCACTGGTAATGAAGGAACACATAGAGACTTCTTAATAGAGATAATGTTTATAATAAATTTTATGGGGTTTGTTGTTCACCACTGTATTACATGTAAAGCTATGGATGATAGCCCAGAGGCACTACAAATACAACTCACTTATAATAGTAAATGAGTTATTGTGAGTATTGTTTTTAATGAGAGACCTAACCATACATGTTATGTAATGACGTGTATACGACTTGATAAATATGTTGGGATCAAAAGTGGCAAATATTATCAAATTATTAACAAAAAACAGTCATATATATAATGTCATATATATATACAGTATATACCGTAGTTTATGATATAATTGTGTTGTGAATTAAGGTTTTCAAATCTATGAGTTTAAGTATGAAAGATAGGGACGATTTGGTGAGCGACTTCATCGCCAGACCCATCGATCACAGCCCTGAGCGCATCGTAAGCAAGCGTGTAATATAATCCACTATTGGAGGTGCCATTTGCATACATAACCTAAACCATACTAAACCATATTTACTATACACTATTGAGACACTCTATCACTATTAACTACTACTAACTCTACTCTACCCTACACTCTAAGCACTTACTTAATAATCTATCAAATCATACATATTATTATATAAACTTTTCTAACAAATGAAGAGATAATTCAATTCAATTTATTTGTATTTCAATTATGTTTAAAATATTTTTATTGCATACAAACATAAATATATTATGTTAAACATATTATTGATGAAATTATTTTCTAATATTTAGCAATTATGTTGTATTAATTAAATGCATGTAAAATATAATTATATAAATTATTATTTATAAATTAGATTTTTATTAGTAGTCAATTCATGTATAATATAAATAAAACAATTTTTAAGTAGTATTTTCTATTAGTATTCTAATTGTTTTTAAAGCTATGTCTTAAACAAATGTATCAATAAATAAATATTATTTTTATATAAATAATTCAAAAATATAAATACACAAATAAAAGTAAATAATTGATGTATTAAGTAATGTCACAAAATCATGACAATCAGAGATCTCTTTTAGTCATTGGACTCATTATAAGGAACTTTGTGTTATGTATTACATAAATCAATATTTTACCCGAAAATGTTGATATCGACAACAATCAAACATAAAATATTATAATGAAAATAAATAACATATTATTTGTTTCCTATAAAATTATTTGAAATGCATTTTACTCAAACATACAGTATTTAACTATATAAGTTTTAACTATTTAACTAGTAAAATTTATATAAAAAGTTAATATTATCTTAGATTATTAACATTAACTATTTATTATGAGATTAGTCAACTTAAATCTAAGATAAAAAAAATAAAAAAATAATTATTTTCTAATAGTAAGTAAATGTGTTATTGTGAGTGTCAGTAGAGAGAGAGAGAGAGAGAGAGAGAGAGAGAGAGAGAGAGAGAGAGAGAGAGAGAGAGACGATAACAATCTAAAAAGAGATGCCATGAAATACAGTGATCAGTAGTGGACAGACATTTTTTTGCATAACAATGCAAAATGTAGAAAATAAGGCAAAAATGTTTATAATATAAATTTATATTTGTATTGATTGAACACATAAATAGCAAAACTTAAAATAAAAATAGCTTCAATGTTATTTTAACTTAAATAAAAAAATAGTGAATTATTTATTGGAAAATAAAATGATATGTTTCTTATATAGCAAAACAACATCAATAAAGCATACAGACTGCAGGTATTATTTTGTAAACATTAGATATTATAAAGTTATGTATACTTTAAAAATTTGTTAATTAGATAAAAAATCTTGTTTTTAAGATAATTCTTATTTTACATTAAAAAACAAAATACATTTTAAATATTTACAGCGATTTGTTTTTTAAGTCAATGATGTGTAAATACATTTAATAAATTAACACTAATTACTATCATATTATTAGCAATAATTTGATATTTCATTGTACAGTAATTATTAACAAAAAATCATATGAAAAATTATTTTCACTTGAATTATTATTAGTATACATAAATATATATTATATTTCATAAATAGAGTATATATTTTAAATAGTAAATATAATAATAATAGTGGAAAAATAAATAAATTGTATTTAATGAGATATTTGAAAAATACTAAAAGTAATTTTTAAATAATAAATGTAATAAATTTCGGACTAATAAATATCAAGTTTCTTATATCACTGAGTTTGTTATTTTATTATAATCATTATTTTGTTACACAATCATACTGTATATATTATAACTAATTTTTTATATTAGTATATAATTAATAAAAATCTAAATACACTATAATTGTAAACAAAATACAATAACTTAGTAATTGAAAAATAGCGGCGAATTGAATAAAAAATGTTATATATATTAGAATTAATATTATATCATATTATCGATCACAATAAATTAATTGCAATTTCTATAAATTTGTTTATATGATCCGACATTATCAGCGCTTAATTGTTTATGTTTGTTTGTTATATAATATAACATATTTATATTTATCATCAATTTATTGAAAGATTTCATTAATGACTGATTTTTTCAATACAAAACATTACTTAAACAATATATTTTAAATCTAATTTATACAGCATTTTCCTATTACGTTATATTTACTTTTCTATTGCTATTTAGTTTTTTTCAGTAATAGTTTTATTAAAAACTGTGTAACAATTTTACATTCCTTATTATCAAATCACAAAAACTTGAGTTAAAATTTAAAGAGGGGTATAGGGGGTGAATAAGCGAGAGAGAGAGAGAGAGAGAGAGAGAGAGAGAGAGAGAGAGAGAAAGAAAGAGCACAGGGAGTGAGGCAGTGTATATGATTGAGAGAGACATACAAAGAAATGGTACGAAATAATCAATAATACGTTGATTTCGGGAAAATTGCTTCAATTGGTTGCGGTGTTTGAAGCGCTGATAAAGTATAACATTTAGAGGAACATTGATGTGGATGTGTTTGAGTGAAAATTAATCATAAAATCCAATCGATCAGCAATTTCTACCAAACTTTGCCATCACTTATACAATGAATGTATATATAGTATGCAAGTTATGCTGCTTTTCTCATAGTATAATCAGTACTAAAGTTTTAAGTTTTTGTCAGACAGACTTATATTTATTTATTTTATTTTGACAATAATGTACAGAAAAGCTATAGTTTTAAGTTAATCACTGGTATATATATATATATATATAGTCATCAATTGTTATATTTCTATATTGTATTTAAATATCATTTTGTCATTTCTCGATATAAATAGCAACAAAATATTATATTAGTTATAGTATAGTCTGGACATACAGTCGATGACTCGTCACTCCGTGTTGTTGGAGACAGTGGTGTGTTTGGGTGTTAATGGCCAACGATCTTCACAATTCATGATATCATATATGTTTTTCTGTACACTTTTATAGTCTCTTGCAATTAATAGTCAAATATACATTATATATATATATATATATATATAAAGTAGTTTATATATAATAATAAACTAATGGATAATAAAGTATGAAAACCCAGAATAGTTTGGAAATAAGATGATTGAAATCATTGCACACTTGCCATCAATTTCTATAATACACTTCATTTAATTAATTAGATTTAAACTTTTTAATTGTCTCTTTGATTATACTTATAATATTAATAATAATATAATATTATAATAATGAATAAACATATATTCACAGGAATGTGTCAAAAATGTTAGCCCAAAGTTTGTTTGTTTTTTTTTAATAGTCATTATGTAGCCGTTTGGCGCTTTGGTCTATAAATTCGTGAATTAAATGATGATTTGTTTTATTGTCAATCAAGTGATGAGTTTTCATAAGTTTACAGCCAATTCATTTAACAGTAAAATATCGCTGATTTGTATCACATGTTATATAATATATTAGTTTTTGTTGTTTTTTCAATGATGCTAAATGACATGAGATACACATATATGTCAATAATGATTAGTAACTATTTGTATTAAAGTAATTGTTGTGATGATAGTGTGACTGTCTATCGAGTAATGGTGTGATGGTATATGTCCTCACAATTCTGTCAGTCCATATGTGGGCGCCTCACTCTTTGGTTCAGTTAGCAAGTTTGGTGGCTGTCCTGCCATTTGCATTGGGTTTATGTCGTGAGCATTTGGTTGTTGTTGAGGTTGTTGTTGGCTATTATTGGTATTGTTTTGTTGGTTATTGTTTTGTTGATTCTTTTTCTTCACGTTCTTAGTGTTCGGCAGTTTGTTGTCTTTTTTCCATTTCATTCGTCTATTTTGAAACCATATTTTAATCTGTCGTTCACTCAAACACAGGGAGTGTGCGATCTCTATACGTCTTCTTCGGGTTAAATATCGGTTAAAATGGAATTCCTTTTCCAATTCCAATATCTGATGTCTAGTATATGCCGTCCTCTGCCTCTTGGGCTCCATTCCACCAAAAGTGGTCCCATTTTGCACTGTTAAACCAAAACACAACAAATATAATTAATTGCCTAATAAGCCAAAACAACAATAAAACTAAAATAACTGTTAGACTTATTGTTAAACACTATACTATTGCATACTATTGTATATATTTAAGTTTTTCTTAATACTAAATAATAATAGTATTTTGAAAACTTTGTAACAATACAATGATAATAATACTATAAATAATAATAGAGAGAGTGAACAGTATGTAGTCTATCGTATATCGTATGAAAAATTTTCTTTTAAAAGTTGGCAAATAGTTCAGTCATTATATCATTCATATGCATAACAGTGCTGTCTATGGCATACAAATAATGGATAAATTGGCGATCGAGTCGAGGCCAAGAAGGAAAGGTACAAATTGTTAGGACTTATGTTTAGTTCGGTACCATCGATGGCAACTTAAGAAAAGGTCTGCCATCAGATTATTACAAAAAAACTAGAGAATCACATCGGAAGGGAGAGAGAGAGAGAAAGAGAGAGAGAGAGAGAGAGAGAGAGAGAGAGAGAGAGAAGAGAAAGCGGCTAAAAAGATTTATTATTATTGGTTTGTATGCAAAGGCGGCACATGTATTACTAACTCTATTATGTGACAAAATATATTGCTTTCTATTAGAGTTAGGTCTCAACTAAACACTAAAACTAACTGTTAAGACATGTAAACATATGATACCACTAACAGAGATAATGTAATAAATATAAAGTGAAAGTATTGGTGAAAGAGTGGGTGAAAGTGATTACCTTTGCATTTACCTTGATTTACGTGAACCTTCTTCATCCACGGGTATATCACCGGATGTCCGCCACCGTTGCCATTGCCAGTACCCGAGTCACTACCACTTTGTACAGACATACCGCAATCACCAGGAGAAGGAGGTTCAACGATACTTAAGGCCTGAGTTCTTGGTGATGGCGATCGGTGTAGGGCCGATGGACTCGATACTCGTGGCATATGTGACATTTGAGGTGCAATTGACGACTGATGATGTGGTGATATTTGATGTTGTGCTGTAATTTGATGATGAATGGATCCATGTGACGGAGGACCCGCACCGGCACCCATACCGCCAGCACTGCATGGTGTATAGTACTGTGGAGGAGCTGATGGAGGCCCGACATGATGGTTGTGGTGGTGATGATATTGTTGCTGACTTTGGTCAATATAATTGAGTGCCGGATGGTGTGGATGGTATCCATAATGAGTTTGATGAGTATTGGGAACATTAGCAGTCTGTTGAGCACTGGTTCCGTAAAAGTCCTGAAGAGTCGGAATGTAATTGGATTGCGAATACTCTTCATTCGGTGGAAACTTCGGATCGGCCGACGCATAGGCCGCTGGCGAAGAGTTCATCAAAAACGAACTCATGACCAATAATACCATTAATTTTGAGGTGAATTGGATGGAAATAATTTTTCTTTGCTGATGTCGCCTAACTGTGCTCAGGCTCCACCTCAACAGCACATATTAGCATAAGCACGTGATAGCGGTAGGCCAACCATAACTCTCTCTATCGTGACCATGGGGGGTTCGTCACAATGTAATCGATGACAGTGATGGATTACCCATCCTTATGGGCTACACCCTACACACCACTCATACCCAACTTATATACCAAACAGAGTCGGCACACATACACAGTATACTATTAATACTACGTTAGCTTAGCTTACAATACCAGCTAAAGTATAGATTGATGCAGAATTGCTACACAAACTACAGATACCAACGATTGTATACCAACTTATATATTATCGCAACTACTTATATACCATACATCGTATATATATATATATATATATATATATATATATATATATATATATATATAGTGTATTTATATATTATATATATATTTTATAGTATATATACTGTATATAACATATCTCTTTCTAATACTGCAAACACTGATCACTCCAGTCATAGACTTATATTTCAATACTACTGACGATATAATACTAAATCAGTTGAGTTGAAGCAAACTGAGAGTAAGTGAGTCTACATTCTCCCCATACAAACAATTGAAGTCAAAATATATACACACCTCTCCTTTTCCTCCCTAAGTCTCTCTCTCAGTAATTTTCTATGATATACCTGCTATAACTATTTGCCATCCTGGTGCTGGTGCATAGTGTGTAGACCAGGATGTAAGCCTACCAAAGCTCAGTTTGTAAACTTGTAAAAAACATAGCATTGCTGACTCTCCTATCATTTGGCAAAATGTATAAAAAACTAAAAGCAACGCTCAATTCAATGGCTGGCATAACAAACTTGTTTACCCCCCGTTTACTCTTTTATTTTTTCTACACACCAATATATTTATAATGTATATATACAGTACAAATAATATAGTATTCCCGACTAATGTTTAATAACAATACATACTTATAGTATTCATAATTATAACATAAACACAAACACAAATACGAAAAATATTTCATATTAGACATATATATTAGAAATATATATTATAAACTATTTAAAATAATTTTCAGGCTATTTGTATCCATTGGTAATTTGAAACATAACATAACTATCTCAGCAAATGAGTGCAATTTAAAAAAATGAATTTAATTATATAACTATTTCTGATATATTTGATATAATAGATTAATTTAATAGATTATTCAATAAATGGTAAATATGAAAGAAATTTCATTTTAATAAGTTAGTTGTTTTCAATTGTTTTCAATCATATTAATAGGGAGTCATATATTGATATAAAAGTTGTCGTTTACAGTGATATTCATTGGATTCATTGGTGAAGTGTGTGTCGAGTTGTGCCAAATGTATTGCAGTGCTGTACTCAATGGTCTGTCTGTCTGTATGTATGTATGTATGTGTGTGTGTGTGTGGTATGTATGTGTGTATATGCAATACATGTCATAATGGCATCTCCTGTATCTCCTGAGAACTCATTAATGTAATGACAGAGAGCACAGACATGCATGTATTGGTTTGCTGTGTAACACCTGAACTGATAATATGACATCACGTCATATTCACATTAATGACAACCATTGTCTCATTGCATACATCAATACTATGATATATACAAGTTTAGTACTATAACAATGTATAGTAGGCAACTGTATTGTACACTATATAATGTGTATATAATATATAATACATAAAAACAGTAAGTCTAGCGTTATAGTGAATGCACAAGAATTAAAGGACAAGTAATCAGTTGACTTCCCTGTGCCCAACCATACTAACTAATATGATATTTGCTACCTTTACTAACTAACATTGCATAAGTTTGTTATATATAACTATATAATAAGTCCATAATTATGATAATGTTATCCAAATGGGTTCTCTCACATAGTAAACATAGTGTTACTTTACTTAGACTCAAGTTTACAAACAACCAAAATAACAAATTACTATATCGTCATCAGATAAGATTAGATTTATTTTAGTTTAATATGTCTCTACTATGTATGGCATACACAATTAGTATGTGCTATTGGCACCCATAGTCTTTATATGAATGACTTTTTGCACAAAAAAACAATAGATGGTTAACATTAAAATAAAACATGAGACATATATATATATATATATATATACTGTATATGAAAGTGCCGGTGCTTTTCAAATACCATAGCTATCAATATTATTTTATGTCGCGATCTGTTTTATTTTCAATTTATTTTCGCTTAAAAGCATTGCATCGCACGGGAGGGGAGGGGAGGCCTCAACTCTTAAGACGAACCACTTTCTGAAAATGACTTTTTCATTGCTTTAACTCACAAATGATTAGTTTGCATATATTAACCATTAATCCACTAATCAATACATTTTTGCTATTCATTCAATTAAATACTAATTCACTTGCCTTCACATAAATATAGCATTTCTTATGTTTTAACATATATTCAAATTGTTTTTTAATTTATTTAATGTTTTCACTATTGTTTGTATGTTTTTGGATTTATATTGAAATTATCTTTATATTATATAAATTTATAATTGTTTACTTTCACTATTTACTATAAATAATGATAAAAGTTATGAAATAAATATTTTATTATTATTATTTTAATATTTAGATTGCGTATTATGTTTACATAATAAATGGCATAAAAATTGTAAAGTAATGTTATTATTTAGCATATAATATATTGAATACATATATAAATATATTTGTGAAATGCAATGATAGAAATCTCATATTTGGAGACATATCAGAACCAATGAAATTGTTGACTCTATGTTAAGCCCAATAGGGAATCCAGTGATCAGTCATATCGGTTGACATTCTGATGAGCAAAAATGGCAGAACTTTCAGACGGCAAGGTCTTCATTATGTTTGTGCCAACACATAACCAACAAACAGCCAACACTACCAACACTACCAACACTACCATCACTGCCACAACAGCCTAACATTTCAATTGCCACTCAAATTGAGTTCACATTCTTTGACAAAAATAATATATTTTATTTATAAATATATTTATTTCTCTAAACAATTTGAATGAGAGAAAAAAAGTTATAACTTTTGGTGGACTTCTTTCGGAAGTCACTCACCCGTCACTCACCCAAACCATTGAATAATAAGAGCACAAACTTTAGTATAAGTTTTTGTCAAAAGAAAAAGCAAACAATTCGTGTCTATTGTCTCACTATTTTCAAGTAGTATTTCTGTTAGTTATAAAAAGGCTGATTTCTGGCTCTAAGTAGGGGTCAAAAGTGGGGGATATGTGAGACCAAAGTGACAGTCACTAGCACTGGGATGTCAAGCAAATTGTGTTATTGAGTGAAAATGTATTTTTAATAACAATACTTTATTCAGTTTAAAAAGCAAATTCAGAACTCAAGACTGGTAGAGGACTAGACCTCAATCAGTGATTCAAACTTTTAGTTTTTAATTCCAAAGTTAAAAGCAAAGCAGAAAACAAAAAAAAATGGTTGAAAAACATAGAGAGAATGAGAGGACTGGGAGGACAGAACTAGTGAGGACGCAATTACAGATGCAATTGTAATAATATATAATCACAGGCAGTGCGTGATTGGGATAATCCATCATTTCTACAGCAACTCAGACGCCAACGATTAATGACTTTTAAAGTTAGCTATACTTTCAGTTATACTTTTAGTCATACTTTTAGCACAAAATTATTAACTTTGGATTCAAGAACTCGATGTGTGAGTCGATATAATTCAGTGAATTCAAGTGAAAGCATTGCTAACGTTATACAAACCAAATGTAATGCTAAAGGCATTCACTAAAGTAATAGTCAAACTTGAGTTCAAATTTTATAATTACATTTGAAAATTGTCTCAAAATTGCTGACAAGCGGTAGCACAGTTAGTGTGGAGCCAATGGTACTGATATTGATATACATTGATATACATTGATATACCGGAGCCTCGTATGCCCCACACAAACCTCTCTAGAACCGAATTGGTTGCTATTTGCAAGTAGACAAATTCGGATCTACAGGGTAGATGTAGAGCACTAGGATGTATCACATTATAATATCAATATTTACCATATATACCACTGGACAACACTCCACTACTACTACTAACTACAATGTATAATATATTGCAAAACACATACTTGTAATCAATTATTAAATTAGACTTAAAAGTATTGATAACAAGTCAATGGTATGTATGTCCTAATGGGTTGTGAGGACAAGCTATCAAATATATAGACACATCAATAGCATTAATAACTGTTTCCATAGAGTAGTGAAGCACTGCATGAGGCTGTTCTCACTTTGCACTGCTATTTAATAAATGTTTCTCAAAAACCATTTAAACATAATGTGTCTCAACTATTGCTCGTAGAGTGTATACAGCATTTAGACTACCAGTGCTCGTAAAATTGACAAATTATCGCATAATCTCTTTGCGGACAAACCAGTGCTGTCGGGTCGTCACCTTTGGTCATATATTTTATCAAAAGTGAGACTAACTTTTTTATGAAGTATACAAATAGTAAAAACAAATTTCAAATAAAAGCAAATATTTTTTTAAATATACATTATATAGAAATATATAATATAATGTTATAGCAATTGAATAATATATTGAAACACAAATTGTAAAAAAAGAGAAATACAAAAGTATGTGACGTGAGTTGCAATGTTTTATATATATATATATATATATATATATATATATATATATATATATATATATACTGTTAAATATAAACACATTGTTTTCATATCATGAATCAAATGCATTCATGCAAACACTTACAGCCATTTTGTCCAATATATATATATATACTTATATACTATATATACTATCTCTCTATGCTTTGGGCAGCACTTTGGCGGCTAAGAAGTAGAACCGAGAGAGAGAAAGAAAGAGAGAATCAAAATTAGATACACCAGGGAGTGAGTGAGTGAGTAAGAGAGAGAGAGAGAGAGAGAGAGAGAGAGAGAGAGAGAGAGTTCGGCAAAAAATAAGAGAAGAGTGAGCACTGATATGCAAGAAAATTAGAGAGAAATACAAAATAAGCAAAATATTAGCGAGAGTTGAGAGAGAAGAGAAAGAGAGGGGATGAAAGAAAAAGTGCAGTCAGACTATGACTAGAGGAGGGGTGTCATTGGGTATAGGGATAGACAACCATAGAAGCAATGGGAGAGTATGAGAGAGCATGAAATGGTATGAGAGAGTATGAGATGGTTTGAGAGAGTATGAGATGGTATGAGAGAGTATGAGATGGTTTGAGAGAGTATGAGATGGTATGAGAGAGTATGAGATGGTATGAGAGAGTATGAGATGGTATGAGAG